TTTGACAATTTGAGCCCAAAATCCTTAGGAGTAGCAGCAGGTGTGGCTTTTTCCATATTGAACTTTTTTACCAAATTTTTAGCATACCTTTCTTGAAGAATTCGTATTCCCTCCTCATTCTACCTTACTTCAATTCCCAGAAAATGGTGAAGGAATCCCATATCAGTCATGTCGAATTCCTTTTTCATGTTTTTCTTGAAGTTTTCTATCATTTCCCTTGAATTTCCAGTGAATACCAGATCATCAACATAAATACATACTATTAAAATCATACCTTGTTGCTTGTGGATGAATAAAGTGTGTTCTTGAGGCTTGCTTTAATCTGATGAAATAGTTCACAATTCTGCTGTACCAGGCCCTTGGGGCTTGCTTTAATCCGTACAACGCCTTCTTTTCTTTAAATGACATACTTTGTATTCTTCTCCCTTCTTTATGTAACCTTCAGGCTGTTCTATGTAAACATCTTCTTTTAATAAGTCGTTAAGGAACGTAGACTTTACATCCATTTGATGTACCATCCATCTATTGTGAGCAACCATAGCCAATACAAGTCTCACTGTTTCCATTCGAATTACTGGTGCAAAAACTTCCTGGTAATCTATTCCTAATTTTTGCTTGTATCCTTTTACAATTAGTCTTGCCTTAGAACCTATCGACCTCACCTTTTTCATTCAACTTGGTTTTGTATATCCACTTCACTCCTATTGGTTTACAACCTTTTGGGAGATCAACCAACTCCCAAGTATTATTTCTTGTGATGGCTTCGATTTCAGCATCCATGGCACTTCTCCACTTTTTATTGTGTCAGGCTTCTTGAAAGGACATTGGATCAGCATCACAGAAGAGAACAAAGTCCGCGTGATCGTTTAGTTCTAAACTCCTAGGATCATTGTATATATCAGCAAGATTTCTGTATCCTCTTACTGGTGGACTTTCAGAAGATTTTGCTTGAGAATTTGAATTTACCAGGCTTTGAGGAGTTGAAGGTGGTGTTGTGGGAGGGTCTATACTTGAACCATGAATATTCTGGTTCTCTTGTCTTTCTTGCTGTCCTTCCTGATTTCCTTGTCTGTCCTGCTGCCCATCTTCAAAGGATGTAATCTGAGAGTTTGTTGTTTCCTTTCTTTCAAAACCAGATGGTTGGTTCCACTCTTTTCCATCTTCAAAAACCACGTCTCTACTAACTATGGTCCTTTTTGTAATAGGGTTGTATAGTTTGTAGGCTTTGGATTTGTTGCTATAGCCAATAAATATGGCTTTTCAGACTTATCATCCAACTTACTTCTTTTCTGTTCATGAATAAAAGAGTATGCCAGGCACCCAAAAGTCCTAAGGTGACCTAAGGTGGGTTTGAAACCAGTCCACGCTTCTTGAGGAGTCATATTAATAAGCCCTTTTGTGGTTGTTCTGTTCATTAAATAGCATGCACAAGCCACTACTTCTACCCAAAATGAGTTGTCTAGATGCTTACTCTTGATCATGCTCCTGGCTTTTTCAATTATAGTTCTATTGAGCCTTTCAGCCACACCATTCTGTTGTGGTGTGTATCTAGTGGTCATTTGGTGATGGATACCATTTCATTTTAAAAAATCAAGGAAGTGAGTTGAGTTGTATTCTCCTCCACCATCTGATCTAAGGGTTTTGATCTTGTGACCACTTTGGTTTTCAATATAGGTCTTAAAGTTCTTAAAAGTTTCAAAGGTTTCTGACTTTTCTTTTAAGAAGTAAACCCATAACTTTCTACTGAAAAATCATCTATGAAGGTTAGCAGATACATGTTGCCTCCAATAGATGTTGTCTTCATGGGTCCGCACACATCAATGTGAATCATTTCCAAAGGTCTGGTTGCTCTCCATATTCCATGTTGAGGAAACGCCTCCCTTTTTTGTTTTCCCATCATACAACCTTCATATATATCCTTAATTTTGCTTAGATTTGGCATTCCTTTTACCAGGTTATGCCTTTGCATAAAGCTTAAGTATCCAAGATTAGTGTGTCCAAACCTGTGATGCCAAAGCATGGATTGTTCTTTTGTAGATAAATTGAAAGAGAACAAACCTTCTTCGATGATATTTAATGGAAACATTCTGTTTCCTGTCATTTTTATCCTTGCCATATGCCTTCCATCTTGATCATTCCGTTTGCAAATTCCATTTGCAAATTCCATTTTTGATGTGTAAATCAAAACCTTTCTGTACAAGTTGTCCCACGCTGAGCAAATTGTATTTAAGTCCTGGTACATAATAGACATTTGTTATTTCCTTCTGGTCGTTCTTTGTTTCGAGTATGATATCTCCAATTCCATTCACACTTAACGTTCTATCATCCCCCGTTCTCACCTCCTTTTTTTGACCTTCATCTATATGAGCGAAGATGTTCTTGTTTCCTGACATGTGGTTGCTACATCCACTGTCAATATACCAGTTTGTAATAAAGGTTTTTTGTGTACTAAGGATCATAAATATGGCTTCCTCATCCTCCTCCATGTTGACAAAGTTGTTATCTCTTTCTTTTGCTAATCTTTTTCTACAAAATTTGGCTATGTGCCCAAATTTTTGACAGTGATAACATTGCATTGGATTTTCTTGTTTGTTTTTGAATCTCTCTTTGAATTCCCTTTGCTGATCCTTCCCATAGAACCTGTTTCTATCTTGGCTTGATGAAGATTGTACTTGAAAAGCTTGTTCGTATGGATTCGTGTCGAATTGCCTCATCCTTAGTTCGTGGGATTGTAACGTTCCAATCAGACTTTCCAAGGACATCGTTGAAAGATCCTTGGATTCTTCAATTGCCACCACCAAGTATTCGAACTTTCTGGTTAAGCTTTTGAGTATCTTTTCAATTACCCTTGTATCTTCTATAATTTCACCATTTATTCTAAGTTGATACAATATGATTATGACTCTGTTGTAGAATTCTTCCACTGTTTCTGCGTCCTTCATCTTAAGTCCATCAAATTCGCATCTGAGTGTCTGTAATCGTACTACCCTTACTTTGTCTTCCCCACGATATATTTTGTGTAGGATTTCCCAAGCATCTTTAGAGAAAACCGTATAGGATATCCTTTCAAAGATGATTTCATCGACAACCTGAAATATCGTATAGAGGGCTTTCTTATCTTTCTTCCTTAAATCTCTTAGATCTTCTTCCTGTTCTGGTCTAATCTCATCTATTTCTTCTAGTTCATTGAATCCTTGCTCTACAATATCCCACAATTCTAATGATTCAAACAGAACTCTCATTTGTATGTTCCATTGATGATAATTCTTCCCGTTCAATCTTGGGAGTTGTGGATGCAACGGTGCGTTTGGTGTAGAGACCATTTTTTGTGCCCTGATACCACAATGTTAGAGTTGCACACATAATATATTCTTTATTGAATTATCATCAAGTTACACAGATGATCATATGATCGAATATATACAAACCCAAGAGACACA